TCACCTCCATCCCTCCTGCCTTCACCACCACCCAGCTTCCCGCTGGGGCTCCTCTGGAGCAAGATGGAATGGTTCCAAACTGACAGAGGGCAGGTTTGGGGTGGATATTAGGAAGAAATTCTTCCCTGTGAGGGTGGAGAGGCCCTGGCCCAGGTTGCCCAGAGAAGCTGTGGCTGCCCCATCCCTGCAAGTGTTGAAGGCCAGGTTGGACGGGGCTTGGAGCAACCTGGGCTGGTGGAAGGTGTCCCTGCCCAGGGCAGGGGGTGGAACGAGATGAGCTTTAAGGTCCCTTCCAACCCAACCCATTCTGGAATTCTAAGATGGTCTTTACCAGATTCTTCTTTGGTGCAGCTCCCTCAACAGCAAAATAGAGACTTGAGGCGTTGCCTCTGTGTTCATTAGTTTTGAAAATACCTCAATGCTTAGTGCTGTTTTACAACATGGAATTTTGCATTAGAACTTGGAAAGGGACCGTTGAGTCCTTTTGGATAACCTTTCCCCTGGATGTGGTACCCACCACGATGGATCCAGACTGTGGCTCGTGAGGCTACTGCAGGGTAAAGAAAAATTCAAACACTTATATTTAATTATTTTTCTGAAGCTCTTCTGTCCTCTCCCTGTGCCATGTGTTATGATATGTTACTGTGTATTTTGGTTGATAACTGGTTCTTTTTTGTGTCTTCTTGAGTCTTTTGCCCCTGTGCTGCTCCTTCAGGCTCTTCTTGCTGCTCTTGCTCAGGTTGCTGCAGGTTGGGTTCAAAGCTGGAGTGAACTGGGACTGAGACCCTTTCCAATAATCCGGGGTGGAAGGAGGGCTGGGCCCTGATCTGATTTTTTTTATTATGATGAGACTAAAACATGTTCTTGAGCCCCTTCTCAGTGCTGGTGCTTTAACAATAATTTTCCCCCCACGAAATCTGATAAGAGCCTTCAGTGGATTTTTTTCCTCCCTCCTCTCTTTACAGCAATTTTAAAGCCCTTTTATTAAATCTAAACCCCACTGTTTGATAGTTCATCTCTAAGCTGTAATTACCCAATATGAAGATACAAGCACAAAATAATTTCCTAGGGAGGTTTACACAAAAAGGAATAACTCTCATTATTATTTTTTTTCAGTCCTTTGAGAAAATCTATAAGAGGATGAATAAAGGGAAGAGTGATGATAGAGCAGCACAGATACAAACCTGATGATCTCACCCAATTCTGACGGGGTTTCTGCTCCAGTGGCTCCCTTAAAGGAGCACTGTCAGGAAGAAAAATCACAGTGCTGGAAGTGGCTCCTGCCATCAATCACTGGCCAGTGAGAAGGTGGGGGATCACATGGATTCCCTTTGGAATTCAATCAAAACACACTTCAGAGGTATTTAATCATACATTTGGTGCCTGACTCCCTGGCACAGGACTTTTGTAATCCCACAAAAGAGAGGCCAGAAGACAGTGATGCAAGTTATAAATTCTTTTCGTTGTAGATACCAATTTTTTTGGATTAATTATGTTTTCCTGCACTGGCCCTTGGGCAGATTGATTTACAGAAAATGATGGCTTTTTGTTTCTTCACTGCTAGAATGAGCTAAACTACCATTTTCTAACCTGTGTCCCTGCAGTGCCTGGGTTATTGTGAGGGCTCTGCCAGAGGGGACAAAGGAAAGTGTGTCTTCATCCAGCACTGACGTAGGAGAAACTCCTGGAGGTCCATGAGTTGAGGAAGGTGTTTTATTCCCTTTCTCTGGAGCCAGAGTCTCAAATAGATAGGGATTTGTATTTCCCTTTTCCTCAGGAAAATGCAGTGACCCATTGCACTGGGACAGCCCTTCTCAGCAGGCTGGGGCAGCAAACCTGAGGGAGGTAAATGCACCAGGAGCAGGTATCCCACTGCTCTGTGGGAAATCAGAAATGCAGGTAGGGGGTTGTGGCTCTGGAAAGGTGTATCAGTAATTCCCATTAATTCTTTCTGCATCTCGATAGATTAAAGAGCCTGGTAATAAACCTTTACTTCCCACAGCCATTTTTTGGGGATCAGATATGTTCCTGGGTCAAATTTAAATGATCAATATAGATACCTGTTTTGAAAATCATTAGAACTGTTTGCCTGTTTTTAATTTGCTTGTCTTGGGGAGAAAGAAAAGAAAAAAGGAGGTACATATCCCCTTCAGTCAGGTTTGTTGCTGTTTCCAAATGAGTTAGGAGCACAAAAACACCACATGTTTTCCCAATTCCACAGGTATCCTCAGCTCACAGTATCACTGGGGGAAGCAAAGCTGGTTTATCTCCACAGATGTGAACGTTGTTCACTCCTGGGTCTGGTGGTGGGTCTTGATTTCTGTTTTCTCTCCATCCCAGCACTTTTAGGCTGCTCCTTGGATTTTACCCTTTTTTTTTTTTTTGCATCCTGATGTTCTGCTCAGCACTCACTGGCTCCTTCCCCTCCCTGTTCCCAGCAGGCATTTCTGTGGTGTGGGAGTGGAGTTTAACATCCTTCTTGTAAAAAACTCTTTCCTTCAGGAATTAAACAACCAATCTTCCATCCACTCTCTGTCCTCTTAGCTTAGCCCTAAATATTGGTGCATGTTTTAACCTTTAATGGTGCTTTTTAACCTCCCAGTGAGGTGTGGGTTACAGATGCTTGGGAAACCCTAGGGTATATCTGGAGGGTCTTCTGATTATTCCCTATTTCAGACAGTTGCAGGATTTTGTAATTTGAAGCTGCATCAGTAGGCACAAAGTCCTGATGGATACTTTAGTTTGGATTGTTAGTGGAGTGTCTGTGGTTAAATAGAGTTTGCAGTGTTTGCCCCTAAAGCCATGCTTAGAGAAGGTGGGCAGTGCCCAGGTGTGCCAGGTTTGGTGGTTCATATCAGAGACTGGCACCAGGAGATGCCAGGCGGGAAGGGCACACAAGTCCAGCTGCTTCCATAAAAATGGTTTTTGGGTTGGAAGGGACCTTAAAGCCCTTCCAGTTCCATCTCCTGCCAAGGGCAGGGACACTTCCCACTATCCCAGGTTGCTCCAAGCCCCGTCCAACCTGGCCTTGGACACCTCTAGGGATGGGGCAGTGCATTTCCAGCACCCCCAAGTACCTTGTTCCTTGGAAAAGAAAGTTCTGTCAAACCCTGGCACCCATAACAACTTACACAGGGAGGTCACTACAATGTGTTCATTAATTAGGGAGCCCCTCAATGGGCTTCAGAGCAGCAGCACTCCAGGGTGTGGTGAACTAGTGGGGTTTCAACCCATCTGTAGCTCTTTGGGCAGCCTCTGGGCTCTTCTCTTCATGGTTTCACTCTCAGAAGGACAAATACAAAACATAAAGTCATCAGAAATCAAATTAACCTGATCTGTGAACACACGTATTAAAATGCCTTACTTACAAAAATCTGGATATTCCACAGTGGAGCAGAGTTTGGGAACGTTTGGATCCCTGATCCGTGTATTTCTGTAAGCTTAGCATGTTTGCACTACTCTCTTGTTTGGATTGCTCTTCTGTTTGGATTACTTCTTTGTTTGGATTACTTTTGTGTTTGTTTGGATTACTTTTTTGTTTGGACTGTGAGTTTTCTATTTGTTTTAGGGTAGTTGAACCTCCGTTAGAAGGTATTTGACCTCAAATTGCTGGTGTGCACACTGAAATCTCGGCTCTAATATACATCTCACTCGGTATTCTGGAATTTAGGAAATAAATACAAGAAAATGAGAAAAGCTTTACAAAATGTTTTCCAAGTTGGTTTTAGGAGCCCTCAGTGATACTGGGCTTGGTTTGGCTGTGGGGGAGAGCCTGGTGTGTGTGAGAGGCGATTAAAGCCCAGCCTTTCCAGAAGATAACAACACTCGGCACCCATAATGTCTCCCTACGCGATCCAGCCCTTCCAGCTGCAGAGTTTCTCCTTCCTCCCACCTGAGCACCCCAAATCCCACCTCCTCTGGGTTCCTGGAGCCTGTGTGTGTGTGGCTGCCGTGCTCCAAAGGGCTCAGGTGTCCCGGTGCTGTGTCCCCCCAGCCCTCTCCCTGCTTTGCTTCCGCACTTGTGTCACGAGGTTGCCTCGCAAGGGGGGTTTTTTGGCCGGTTGCTATGGTTACCGCTCCGCCGCCCCTGAGCCGGAGGCACCGGGCCCGGCGGTGCGTTTGCAGCCCTAATGAAATGCAGAGCGGTGAGTTAAAGGTGTAAGCCCAGCGTGGGGATCGCTAAGCAACATCCCTCCGTGATGGGCCATAATTACTGCTGCCAGCTCTGCGCCGTGCTGGAGCACGAGGCTCCCTCCTCCACTGCATCAAACCCGTGTTTGTGCCAGGAGCTTCACAGGAGCTCGGATCTATCATTTTTCATAGTCCCTTCACAGTTTCAAAGAACTGAGTTTGACCCCTTTAAATTATTCACACCTTCAGACCGGCAGCATCTCCCACGTCTCCTTTTGTGTGTGTCGCCCGTTTCCTGCTCGTTCACTCCCAGAAATTTATTCTAAAGACCTTTGATTCTTCTGCCCCAGTTTCAAGAAGTGAGTCCAACTCATTTCCTCCATGCTGCTTCTTGCGTATCTGAAAAAATCCAATACTGTTGAATTAAAATGTGTGCATTGCTGTTGAATTAAAATGTGTGCGTGGTCGGTGCTTGGAGCTGTTTGCTCCAGGATCTGCTCCAGAAGGAGCTGATGCCTCAGGCCTTTTAGAATCCCAGGCTGGTTTGGGTTGGGACCTTAAATCCCATCACGTTCCCACTCCCTGCCATGGGCAGGGACACCTTCCACTAGACCTGGTGGAAGCTTTCTGCTAAGAGCTTTTATTTAGTGTCTGTCCTGAACAAGGCATTTTCTGCACCAGTTTGAGAAGTAAAATAAACCCAGACCCTGGTTGGATTTCCACATTCCAGCGAAATCACTGATTGCACCACCCGCTGCAGTGGCACTTCTGCAATTAGTTGCCTCGTGCTGGCAGCTGGGGTGGTTGGGAATCTCTCTCCCAGGTTCTCTGCTGATTCCCTGTGTTCTGGGGATGTTTTACATGTACAGCACCGGAGCTGCCGATCCTGGAGAGGAAAAACTGGCTGATTTACCTGCTCTACGTCCGCAGGGACTACGAGGAATGCAAGGTAAGAGCTGCCTCTGGGACTTCCCTGGGGAATTATTTTACTGGTGTTATAAAATAATAGTTTTCTTGACAGTTTTCAAAGCATCCTCTTTCCTTATTTCTTTTGGAATAAGGGGACCAAGAGAAAATATAAGTGAAATTACTCCAATGTTCTCAAATCCTTGGCTGCCTTCAGGATCCGTGTGTGCAGCTCTCTGGAGCAATCTGTGAGCTCAGGGTGTCTTTAGGAGTGGAGAAATTGAAAAAACTGCAAACCTCTCTTGTTCCAAGTGATGGATGGGGTTTTCCAAGCTGATAATAACTCAGTTCCACAGCACAGGTCTCTGGATGGTACTACAGAGATGCTTGAAAAACACTCCAATTGAGGAAAACGTTACCACCAAGTGTAAATAAAAAATATCCTGCTGACCCTTGGGCAAAATTCTTTCATTTTACACATGATCCATTGCACCCTTTAATTCCTCTTGGGTTTGGAAGTGGTTGTTTATTTGGGATTATAATGGTACATCGACTAAGGAAATGGCAAATTATTATTAAACAGTGTGTTTTCCTGATAAAATGAATCTGAGCTATGGAAGATGATGAAGACCAGGCTGGATGGGGGTTGGAGCAACCTGGTCTAGTGGAAGGTGTCCCTGCCCATGGCAGGGGGTGGAATGAGAGGAGCTTTAAGGTCTCTTCCAACCCAAACCATTCCATGATTCTAAGAGGAAGACATGAAGATGATGCAGCACCAGGCAGGAGGAGGGAAATGAATTCACATTCAGATTCTGTCATGTACAAAGAAGATCTGAAAAGACTTTTTGTCTTCTGAAACACCAGGTTGGTCAGGACTTGTCCCTCTGCTGGAGAGCTCCTGGGGGTGCTCAGGAAAGGGACAGGCTGAGGAAATGCATTTTGCTCTTAATTAAAGGAGCCAGAGGGTTGGATTGTCAGCACAGTGATTTCCTCTCAGGTCTTGGTTTGAACAGATATAAACAAAAGTTGGACTAGTCCTCTAAACAGAAAATTGTTTCCTTTTTTTGTTATCTGGCTGGATTATTTTGGTGTAAGTTGACTGTTCATAGAGTCACTGAGTACAGAAAAGAAAAGTGTGTGCAGCTCAGGAAACCAGAGGACATAACAAGTAGATGATATAATGGCAACACCGACTTCTGCACGTCTTCATCGGTCAGGGAAGCAAGGAAAATAGGGGAGTAAAGATTGAGAGAAGGCAGCTCATAAATACTCCTCTGCTTGGCAGGCCAGCTTTGCTGGCCAAGGAAAAGGCAGCACAGCTTTTCCTCAGAGCTCACAAACCAGGGTTTCTGCAGCAAGATTAGAGTTTGGCACCAGACCACAGCAGGTTAAATGACCTTCCCTCCTGTCGCCTGGATGTGAGGGCTGTGTGCTCAGAGGGCTGGGTTTGTCCCAAAGACAGGAACCTCAGCATGCCAGGATGGTTCATCAGTCCCTGGGGAGCAAGAGGTGATTCAGCTCTAGGAGGGCTGAGCTGCCCCCGGGGGGGGGGGTGTCTGTCTCCCCCCCTGCTGTTACCTGGGGTTACAGATCCAACCTGGATGCCCTTAGATGTGATAAGAAGAGACATTCCCAAACTTGCTACCTGGGGCTGATGCCTTCAAAACCAAAAGAGGTATTGGCAGTGTCCCCCAAGGCCTAAATTGCTGTGAACTCCTTGGTTACAGCATAGTTTGGGCACTTGTTAAAATCCATTAGATTTCTTTTAAGACTCAGTTAAGAAACAAGTGACCTGTGGTGCTAAATAATTTTAGTCTCTCCCACTCAGTGCTTTGAAACGCTCCCTCTCTAAAGTGGTTTTAAAAGCTTTCCTATTTTTTAGTGCTCAAGAAGGTCATTGAAAGCTGTTTATTTACCAACATCAACTCCCCTGTGAAGGCACTGAACTGATTTTAACCCTCTCAGGGCCACTCCAGCAAGGTGCAACCAGAGCCTGGGGCTGCAGCATCCCCTGGGATCACACAGGGACTGGTTGGTCTCCTGCCAGTGTGTCTGAATTCTGCCTGTGGCTTAAATAAACTGGGGGGGGGGGGGGAAGCTGAGATTACAGATCATATTTCTCCTCTCAAGGCCTTTTGCTGTAGGATTTTTTAGGGTTTATAGAATTAATCAGATCTCTGTAAAAGACAGCTCTCTGTTGCCCTCTCTTGCTCTGAGAATCTGGGTTTATGCAGATGGAGCAATACAGAGTATCCAAATTGAGATGTGTGGTTATTTCTGAGTTCTATAATAGTGCACTTTGTAAATTATGTAGATAAATTAGCAGATGCAGGTGAGGGAAGAGCAGCCCAGGTTTGTTCTTCCTTTTCCTTCCTCTCTTTTTCCAAGTGAGGATTCTCAGTAATAACTCTCCGTCTTCTCAATAATTTCTTCTCAACTCGTATCTTCTCAGTAATAACTTTCCCAATAACAGTTTTCCTTCCATGTGCTGGATTTGAGGTTTGGTTTTCAGGTCCTTCACTTACATCCCTCTGGGAGGCAGGGGATGCTGGGACTGACCACACACATCTGGAGTGCCAGATGAGCACCATGTTACTGCTCACACAGGAATTATTCTTCCCTCCCTGTATCTCCTCCACTTCTGCACAAAAGTGGAGTCTCAGAGCAGAAGTGATGCCTTTAGTTCCTACCCAGAGTGTTCATCCTCCCAAAAGTCACTCTTTTTGACCAGTTTTATAATTTCAGGGCACCTGTGACTATGGATTATGTCCAAACTGCACCCTCACCCCAGACTGGCTGCTGCATGGATGCAGCCAGCAGGAATTTACATTTCCATCAGGTTGTTTCCCCCCTGCACTCCTCATTTGTTCATTTGGCTTTCATTGACTCAGCTGCAGTTGCTCCAATTCAATTTATTTCTTCACAAATGGCCTGGAGCAGATACCCTTATCAGCAGAGGATGCTTCCAGACATGCCTCGTGGCATTTTCCCCAGGTAGTATCTAATTACCTTTGGGAATAGGAATGAACAGAGGAATACTGAGAGGGCCACAGTATTCCTGGCACAGTGCTCTCCTGGGCACCCTGGGGTTGGCCCAGTCACAGTCCAGTGCCCTTGTTACAGGTGGGGTTGTGGTTTCTGTGACTGAAATCAAATCTCTGTTAAAATGATGCAAGTTTACAACTCCTGCCCTTCCAGGCTGTCATCAAGGAGCAGCTCCAGGAGTCCCAAGGGCTCTGTGAATACGCTGTCTACGTCCAAGGTACGTCCAGAAGTTCATTTTGCTGAAATAAGGCCCCCCTGATTTGAGATGGAGTGAACAGTGAGAAGGGGAACAGGTGAGGGAAACGCATAAAATTGTTGAGTAAAAGATATCTGGGTTTTTTTCCCCTGCTTGCTCCATCTAGTTTTGGAGTTGGGGATTTTCCCATGAAATGGGCAGATTAGGTTTTCTGTTTTCTCTGTCACTGATCCCTCCTTGGACTGTGAGCTCTTGCCCTTCAGTGCCTTGGGGTGTGTTTGATTGGGTTACAGTTGTACGTTTTCTCTTAGAGATCCCCACCTCAGGTGATTGTTGTTTCACTGTTGCTTCTAAGGATGGAATTCCTCTTCCTGCCCTGCCCTCTGTCCCCTAAAAAACATCCCCCAAAACGTGGCATTCTAATTCCAAGTGCTGTGGTGGGGAGGACAGCAGAGATTTGCTGGCCAAAGACACACTGTAGAATCTGGGGAGGGGAGAAATCCAGACTGCATCTGTACAAGGAATTGCCCAGGGTTTGAAGCTTCAAGCCTTTATTCTGCCCCCCCAAATTTCTGCAGGCAGGCAGAGTCCTTTGCCTGTGTTGTCATTCTGCCCTCAGACACATCTCCTTGGAGTGCTGCAGGAGGGGGAAGGACCAAAGGAGCGTTGCTAAAATAGATCTGTATCCCCCCTTCTTTCCCTGCTGTCAGAGGGACGTTTTCCCTGCAGATAATGCACTAATTTGCCTGCTCTGTGTTGTCTTACAGCTTTGATATTTCGCTTGGAGGGGAAGATTCAAGAATCTCTTGAACTTTTCCAGACATGTTCCATTCTGAACCCACGGAGCGCTGACAACCTCAAGCAGGTGGCACGATCCCTGTGAGTGGTGTTTTATTGTTTCTCTTTGATGTGCCACCCAGGACCTTCCATGTTTTGTTTTTCTTCCAGGCTGCTTAATTCCAGACATGTTTCCTCCTTATCTACACTTGGGTTGGCTCCCAGAAGCGTGGGTTGTTCTTTAAGCAGAATCCCTCTTATCTGCCTGGCTGATTTTGTGTTTTCTTCTTCTTTGGGCTTTAAGCAGAGAGGTGACACTGATTTCTAGTTCACAGCCACAGGTGCTGACCTGAGCTGGGCAAACTTACCCTACAGACCCCCTTCTGTCTCTGAATGTTCTGTTAGGTCACATGTCCCTTTCCTTGGAGACAAAGGCAGGCTGCAGAGTCTGGGAATTCATTCCTTGCATCTCCAGTAATGTCAGGATGGGTGACCTTGGCCCTGAGAGGGAGCAGTGCTGAGATTGCTGAGATTTTAAACTTCTCCTGCAGCTCTCTGGAGAACCAGGAAATAGCATCATTTCTCACTGGCAAAGGTGACAGTGGTTGCACAGCAGGGTCTGAAAGCAAGGAAAGCATAAGAATTGAAATCCTTTTTGCAGGTTTCTCCTGGGGAAGCACAAGGCAGCCATTGAAGTGTACAATGAAGCAGCTAAACTGGATGAGAAGGACTGGGTGAGTGTCCAGTGAGCTGCAGATTGTTGTAGGAGCTGCAAACTTGTCCCAAGGCAAGGTGAGCTCACACTGCCTGTGCTCTGAGCCTGGTTTGGCTCACAGGAGCCAGGCACCATTCCACCTGCAAAGCCCCACACCTCGTCTTGGGCCACAGAGAATTGAGCAATGAGTTTGAGCTTTGCAGATATCAGTTTGAATGTAACCAGAGCTGTATGTTAAGGGCAGTTTGGGAAGTGTTCTGAAACCCTCAGTTGTTAAAACTCGCTTGAGTAATTGGGAAAGCTTTTGTGATGCAGAACATGATTGAAAATACAGCAGCCATGATTAAATTAGCCCTCCTATATAATAAGACAGAGAAGGAAGAGCAGTTGCAAAGGGAAAGGTGTGACACTGGGTGAGAGGGCCTTTTGCAGGTGACTGTTTTGCCTGCAGGAGTGTTTCTAAGATGGGCTTGCAATATGTGAGCTCATCTATTTGTTGCTCAGTATGTGTAAAATTCAGGATACAGGGATATCTTTGGGTTTTTTTCAACTTACCCTGTGCCAGACGACTCAGAAACCTTTTATGCTCTGGGTCTTTTTCCCACTTGCATTCCCTTAGCTCACCAAGCTCCTTGCAGTGCTTGGCATCCTGTAACCCTATTTACAACCCAGCAGGCAGATGTCAGTGGGGATTTTGATGAGTTATTCCCCATTCCTGGCTCAGCACTGGAAGGAGAACCAGTCTGTGCTCTTCCCTTGTTCTGCAAGCTGCAGCAACCAGCAGTCATTGCTCAGTACTGTCTTACACAGCTGGAGAGGCTGCATGGAGGAAAACACCATTCCAGGGGGTTAATGGGGAAATAAGAGTTTCCTGTGGAAGGTCAAGGCTGTCTGAGCTGGTGAAGCAGTGAAATGCTCACCAGGATAGAAACAAGGAATGGGGGCCTTGCTTTTCAGCTCCCCAAGATGTGTTGGGATGGGGAAGGTGCCAGGTGCTTTTCTGTTAAACTGTGGGTGAGGAATGAGAGGCATGGACAGTCCCTGCAGTGTCACCAGAGTATTTAGGATCCCTAAGGGATCTTCCTACCCTATGCAGAATTGTTTGGGATGCCAGAGGGATATCGGCCCTTCTGGTGCTCAGCTTCTGATTTGCCTAATTTTTAGGCACATCTTCCAGTTTAGTCCAGCTGGGTTGGGCATTGTGCATATCCTGATGATGTACAGCTGGACTGAGAGCCACCCATGAGGGCAACATCCCTAGTCTGAGAGAGTGACATCATGGGGAAGAAACCAGTCTGTGCTCTTTGTTCTCTGAAGAGGAATTTCTCATCTCTCTGAAGAGAGATTTGTCTCTCTGGTTTTTGTCTCAGTGGACTGTGATCTTTTGTGTACCATCCCACTTATTCTCTGTAGGTGCCTGAACTTGAATTTATAGGTTTACTTGCTCTACAGAGCAAGAAGGGTGTGGGCAGGCACAGGGGTGTGTGCTCCAGGTCAGTGCTGTTACTGCTGTCAGATTCTGTATTTCATACCTTGTGCTGATTTGGTTTTGTTCTTTTTTCAAACAGGAGATCAGCCACAACCTGGGTGTGTGCTACATGTACCTGAAACACTTCAACAAGGTAATGCCAATGGGAAGCAGGAAGCATCCCAGAAATCTCACAGTCTTTGGTAGCTTGGAGTGTGGGTCATTTGCAGCCATAGGTATGAAGGAAGTTTTTTGCTTCAACCTTTGTTTCTGGGATCAAAGGTTTGTGAGCTGTCTCTGTTCCCATTTGTCTGTTGAGTTACTTTGAGTCAGCTCCAAGTCAGTGGGGTTGGATAAAGGGAGCCTGTGGAAGAGCAGGAGGCTTTTTCTGAAATTCAGGATTTTTCAGGGAGCATTTCTGGTTTTAAATGGAATGTTTGAGAAACCTCAAACTAGACAGAAAACCAGCTGTGCTCCAACAAGAGCTGCTTCTGTCTCTGAGCCTTTTAGAGCCAGACCCATGAACAGTGCTGGCTTTGTGGGAGCAGCAATCCAGATCCATCCTCCTGAAGCAAGAAGTGTGGTGGTAAAGCCCCAAACCATTTCCCCAAATCAAACTGCTCCACCTCGTGAGGAGAGTTCCCAAAGGAAACCTGCTGCCCCTGGGGTCTGGCAGGATTCAGAGGGAAGAGTTTTGGGCTTGGTTTGCTGGAGGTGCAGCAGGCACCTTTTTTCCTCCATGGAAGGGGTTTGCTCCTGTGTCTGAAGCTCCCTTTGCCCCAAGCCTGGAGCAGAAGTCACAGAAGAGCACAGCTGCAGTGTGGGCAGCACTGACTGCATTAGCTTTGGAGCTGACAAAGGACTTCTTGGAAGCTGAAATGGAGTTATATTCCCAGTCTGAGCATGCTCCTCAACCACCCCCTGAGTGCTGGGGGTGAGCACTGAGCTGCCTCTGATCCAGTTTGTAAGGGAAAAACCAGCATTTAGAACCTTTTTGTTTCCAGTGTGGCCCTGCTGCTCTTCCTTGTGGGGTGCTGTGGCCCTTGCAGCAAACCCCAGCTGCATTCCCTGTTTGAGACATCCCTGTAAAACAGAAAGCTCTAGAGTATAGGTTCACACTTGGGATTTGCTGTCTGCACTGACACCTTCCAAACTGGGACCTGCTCACATCTCTGGGATTTTCACTTGGCAGTCCATGCTCACTGCTGGAAGGGCATTTAGGGAAGAAAAGGCTGTAAAGTACCCGTTCACCTGACAAATCCGGAGCTTCCCCCAAACCAAACAAGCTCAAATCCTGGAATAGATCCCTGTTCCTCTCCTCCCTGGGAGGCCATTGCCTCCTGCTTGGCTTGGAGCACGTCCTGTTGCCTTTTCCTGCCCCTAAAAGCCCGTGGCTGCTGCTGCAGAGCTTGTTCCAACAATTATCTGGGCTGGGTTTTGTGTTCTGTGTCTCAGGGGGTGTTGGTTGGCTGTTCTTCCCTGGCTCTGGGGGTTGCTCTCGGGCTGCTGCTTCACTGAGGGCTCTGTAATCACTCACCAGTTTTTGTTTTTCCCTCTGCTTGTGTCTTTAGGCACGAGACCAGCTCAACAATGCCCTGGAGCTCAACAGACATGACCTGACTTACATGATGCTGGGGAAAATCCACCTCTTGGAGGGGGAGATGGATAAAGCCATTGAAGTCTATAAGAAAGCTGTAGAGTAAGAAATATCCTTTATTCCATCTGCCCATTCCCCTCCTATGCCAGGAGAAAATTGATTGGTGTCCCAGATCTGAATTGAGGCCATGATTAAAAAGCTAATGGTAATTATAGAGTCTCTGAGCAAAGCTGGCACTTCCAAGCTCTTCAGCTGTCTCTGCTCTCAGCTGTGGTCCTGCTCCTGCTGACAGTGTGGCAGGGAGGGAGGGAGCTGTGGAAGGGCTGCCAAAAGAGTGGAATAACAAACGGATGGAGATGCCTGGGAGCAAACTGATCCAAAACTGACTTCATCAATCCCAAAGGTTTATCTACCAAAAAGATCTAACCCTGATTGTCTGTCCCAAATCCTTGGCTGGGTCTCACATGCTGCTTTCCCTCAGAGTGGTTTGTGTTTGGAAGCTGTGAGTGGGCAGACTGGAGGTGGGTTGGGGCACAGGGAGTTTATCCCACCCCACCACTGCTCCTCAGTGCCTGTTTTAGGATGTTCCTGAGCATCTGATTTACCAGTGCTTTAAAATGTAGCCAACACTAAGGAAAAGCAGGAGCATGTCAGGAGCCACTGGAGGAGCTACCCCAGTGTTCCCCTACAGGTCTGCCTTCGGCTCTCTGACAGTGGGTTGGGTTGGGTGGGCATTGGGACTAATCTAGAATGTTTATTACGTAAATAATCCTTGCTAAGCACCTTACCAGGTTTATGTATCTTATCCCATTTCTTCCTTGCCCTCCTTTCTTCCTCACTCCTGGTTTTTTCTCCTTTTTTTTTTTTTTTATTCTCATCTTTTTCCTTGCTGTTTCCAGCTCCACCATGATCTGTTATTCCGTGTTTGTGCACCACCAGGCACAGGCAGTTTTGTTGTGGTTGAGATTTAGAGGTGCCAATGTGAGTGTGCAGATCAGATTTCCTAAGTCTGGGCAGCGGGGAATTGAAAACTGACTTCTGTTGTGGCGAGGCTTTTTGGGTTTGGTTGTTGTTTCCATCCTGTTTATTTGTAATCTTTTTACAGGGTGAATTAAAAGTCTGACGAGGAGCGTGTGTAGGATCCATCAGAAATGCTGAGCACTGCCTGTCCTACGTGGCCTGGGAGGCTTAGGATGGATGGATTTACAGGGTGGTTTATGGGAGATGATGGAAAATCCCATTTTGTATTTCCAGGTCACTGATGCAGACTCACTTTGCAGCTTAACAAACCCACGTTATCTTTTTACGTGTCCAGATCTATCCCACAGAGCCTTGCTGCCTTCCCATTGATACCCAGAGCACATCTGGGAAGCTGAGGCGTTGTGTTGTTCAAAGGAAGTCCTCATGGTGGCAATTGTTCTGATATTTGTGTTTAATAATAACAGTGAAATTAATTTCCTGGAGTGGTACAAGTGTAATGTAGCATCGTAATTCCATGTTCTGTTTTTACCTTGTTCTGGAAGAGCTGATAAGCAAACGCAACCCTCTGGCTTTTGTGTTCCAGGTTTTCTCCAGAAAACACAGACCTCCTCACAGCCCTGGGCTTATTGTACCTGCAGGTACTGAAGGCTGTTAGCTATTGCATGAACTTAATTATTTTCAAAAGAACAATGTTGGTTTTTTTATAGAGTTAATTTCTGTCCACCTCCCCGTGACTTGCACGTGTTTCTCTAAAGACTGAGTTTAACAGGACGGAGCTTGATTTTCTGTATCTTCTTGTTGCTGCTAAAAGCAAGTTGATTCCCTGGACCACAGCCAGAGCAGGAATTGTGTTTGGCAACGGCCCTAATTCTGTTATAAATCCTCCAAATATAACAAAACATGACTAGTCATTACCTTGTTCCTGGAGCAGGAGTCTTGCAAGTTATCCTACAAAAGCAGCCATGAAATTGTGAGTGTTAATGCACCACAGAGGAAAATCAGAATCGATTTGAATAACAAAGAAGTGCTTATCCCTGGGTCTGGGAAATGGATGGGAAGGGCCAGCAGATTGTTCCAGAAGTAAACTTCCCAGAGAGTGAACAAGCAAAGGACAGGCAGCAGTGCCTGAAAGGAGGAGGAGGAGGCCACAGGGCTGATCCAAGAGCTGGAGCCCCTCTGCTCTGGAGCCAGGCTGGGAGAGCTGGGGGTGTTCACCTGGAGAAGAGAAGGCTCCAGGAGACCTTAGAGCCCCTTCCAGGGCCTAAAGGGGCTCCAAGAGAGCTGGAGAGGGACTTGGGACAAGGGCCTGGAGGGGCAGACCAAGGGGGAATGGCTTCCCACTGCCAGAGGGCAGGGATAGATGGGATATTGGGAAGGAATTGTTGGCTGTGAGGGTGGGGAGGCCCTGGCCCAGCTTGGCCAGAGCAGCTGTGGCTGCCCCATCCCTGGGAGTGTTGAAGGTCAGGTTGGATGGGGCTTGGAGCAACCTGGTCTAGTGGAAGGTGTCCCTGCCCATGGCAGGAGTGGAACTAGATGGGCTTTCAGTGAAATCAGTTGAAAACACAGAATCGCAGGATGGTTTGGTTTGAAGGGACCTTACAGCTCATCTGGCTCCAATCCATAGGATTTCAGTGAGTCTAACCTGTCATGTGTTCATGCAGGGCCACAGTCAGGCCCACCAACCCTTGCAGTCCAAGGGAAGACAAAGAAAGTCTTTCTTACCTGAACAGAAGAACCCTGAGCAGTGAGGAAGTTGTGGTGAGAGAATCCAGGATGTGCAGAGTAGCAATTCACAGCCTCTTTTCTGGGATAAAGGAGCAGAGAACTGTCAACCCAGAGCTCACTCTTGTGTGGAAAAGTCAGAGCACAAACTATTTGGAAGCCTTTGCTTGGGTCAGAACAGTGAATCCAGCCCAGCTAAATAAATTTTTAGAATCTGTGCTGTGAATTATCAAACGGGAACATGTGTGTGCCATGGGAGCACTGTAAAATTCACTTTCTTGAATATGTAACTGAACCAGCAATTCTCCTGCTCACAAAGCATGTGTTCTCCTTCTCAGCCACCCTTATTCTTGAATTTCTGATGTGTATTTACTTCTTTTCCCAGACTGGAGATTACCAGAAGGCTTTTGAACACCTTGGAAATGCACTTACCTATGACCCAGGCAACTACAAGGTGAGGAGTGGGAATGATGATGGGACACCTCTTAAGGCTAATTCCAGTATCAGAGCTCTGCCATCTCTATCCAGGGCTCAGAGAGCCTGGAAAGGGTCATGTCCAGAAAGGTTTTTCTGAAATACATTTCTGTGATGTTTCCCTGGGTGGGGAGTTTGGGGATGTGTGGAGATAGGGAAAGGGGAGGAGGCAGAATATGGGATTGACCCCTTTGGTTTTTAATCTAAAGTTACACCAAATCCAGGTGGAATTTACTTAGGAAGAAAAGTCTTCTAGACATTGTTTCAAAAATCCCAAGAGCTGTGCTAGGTCCCTGTGACTCCTCAGGACAGAGCACAGCTCCAAGTGATACTGCAGTATGTTATTCTCTGCAGATAACCCTGCCTGTGCTTCCAGCTGCTGTATAGACTCCCTTGGCTCTGGCCTGGAAAGCTGAGCTTGGCATCTAGGTTTCCTTCCTGATTGTGGAACTGCTTCCCTTTTTAGGGGTGTTACTTCATTTCTCTCCTTTTTTTCTCTGTTGACAGTGCAGAGTATTGCAATGTGTGGTTGACAAACATGAGTTATTGTGAAAACACCTTTACACTTACAAATTTTACTTGTCACTGTGAAATCCTATAAGGGACTTAACTGGTGTGGTTTAAATATAGTGTGTTGCACTCAGTTCCTTTTTTGTCCCCATGCATATTCCCACTAATTTGCAGTATCAGCCAGTCAGTGTGAACTAGGAGAGCTTTGCTGCTTATGTCTTGCTTGAGTATGTTTTACTCCCCACTTATCTTGTACCAGAACTATTTCTATCAGTGCTTGGTGGTAAAAAGAGTCTATAGATTCTTTCCATAGAACCATAGACTCAGAGACTCAGACTCCAAGAAATACTTCTGTCACCCCAAAAAATACCCCAAACACTCATCATGTTGCAATATTTATAGAATCATAGAATCCCAGAGTAGTTTGGGTGAAGGGGACGTTAAGGATCAGTGAGTTCCACCCCCTGCCATGGGCAGGGGCACCTTCCACTAGCCCAGGTTGCTCCAAGCCCCATCCAACCTGGCCTTGAATGCTTCCACGGATGTGTTCCAGCTTTCCTGGGCAAACTGTCTCATTTCTGAGACAGTTGTGGTCAAAGTAGTGCAGGAAGAAGCAGACTCAGGTCCCTTCTTCACCCTGTGTTCTGCTGTCTGGTGGGAGATCCGAGTCCTCATCTTCTCCCCACTGTTGGTCGGGGCAGCCCTTGGAAGAAAACCCTGAAAAAGTTCAGTGGTTGCTCTCGAGGTGGTTTTAGTTTAATCATTTTGCCCTCTTGCTGTTCTGCTGTGTCTGGTCCCTCGGTGTCCCCCAGGCCACCCTGGCTGCTGGCAGCATGATGCAGGCCCACGGGGACTTTGACGTCGCCCTCTCCAAGTACAAGGTGGTGGCCGGCGCCGTTCCCGAGAGCCCCCCGCTCTGGAACAACATCGGGATGTGCTTCTTCGGGAAGAAGAAATACGTGGCAGTAAGGATCACTTTTTCCTGTCTGTATCGAGCTTTATGCAAGCACAAGGCTCCTGTGGTGCAGAGGCAGGAGGTCTGTTCTGGCCGGGCTGTCACAGCACATTTATCCCTGTTTTTGCAGGCTATCAGCTGCCTGAAGAGGGCAAACTACCTGGCTCCCTTTGACTGGAAGATCCTGTACAACCTGGGGCTGGTGCACCTCACCATGCAGCAATATGCCTCAGCCTTCCACTTCCTGAGTGCTGCCATCAGCTTCCAGCCCAAGATGGGAGAGCTCTACATGCTCCTGGCAGGTTTGTGATGGTCCAGCTCCAGCAGAGATCCAGCTGAGGGGATGCAGCATTACAGACACAGAAGGTGTGGGCTGAAGTAAAGAAATAGTGCAAGAAGGCTTTACTAAGAAGCTCTTCCCCAGACTGTTCTCTCTGGGGTGAATAGAAGGTTGAATTGCAGTCAGATCAGATTAAACATTGAAAAAGACTTTAGGTGTGTGAGCTTGGGGTTGGGTTCCCTAAGGAGTGGGTCTGGATTTACAGCACTGGACATTTTTGGGATGAAATGAGACAAACATGTCCGAAGTGACATCGAGAGCAGATGTAGATTAGAGATTAGGAAGAAATTATTCACTCAGAGGGTGGCGGGGCCCTGGCACAGGTTGCCCAGAGAAGCTGTGGCTGCTCCATCCCTGCAAGTGTCCAAGGCCAGGCTGGACAGGGCTTGGAGCAACCTGGGCTAGTGGAAGGTGACCCTGCCCATGGCAGGGGGTGGAATGAGATGGGCTTTAGGGTCTCTCCAGCCCAGGACATTCCATGATTCTGTGATCAGCAGGGTTAATCCTGGCAGCAGTCCAGGCAACCCTGCTGGCACATATTTTATGACTGAATGACATTCAGCATTGCCCTAAAAATGAACTCCTTGTGAAACATGAACTCCTGTGTGTGTGTTTTGCTTTGATGCAGTTGCTCTGACCAACCTGGAAGACATTGAGAATGCCAAGTGTTCCTATGAACAAGCTGTGGCCCTGGACAAGTAAGTGTTCACCAGAGCTGTCATTTGTTTGCTCCTGTGGCTTTGCCTTCCTGCACCTGATATCCTTTGCCTCTTGCTCTGCTTTGACCCAGAATGGTTTGCAGTAGAGAGAGACACTTTTATTCCTGTGCAAGTGACAGTGTTAAACCCACTTTTTTTTTTAATTCAACTCAGCTCTGAAAAATGAAAGGGGATTTTATTTCACACCAGCCCAAAGCTGGGTTTTGTTTTGCTGTTTGGTTAGTGAGTCAGTGGTGATGACTTTGGATTCCAGCCCTCCTTTCAGTGAATATTTATACACAGTGGAGCAGATTCAATAGGAGGAAACATATTTTGTAACCTAAAGTTTGAGCACTGTGCAGAGCAGTGAGATGCTTGGGATAAAGCCTGTTATGAATTGGGCAGAGGGAAGATTTTGGCTGGCAGAATCTGGGCAAGAACTCTGTATAAAGCAAATAAAACAGAGCAGGGGGTAGTTCTTGCTCCTTTTTGTTAACGATATCTATGTTTGCAGTCTAGGTCTTGAAATCAGAGCATTTGGTTTCAGAAATGTGAAGCTGAACTTCACAGTATTTCGTCATTTCAGGCAGAAAATCAAAATTATTTCAGATTTATTAATAGTTTTGTCTCTGTCCCCAGTTCACTGTATTTGCATACTTAGAGCAGCCAGCACTCTGAGCCCAGAGTCTGTGCTGGGTACAGAGCAGTGCCAGGAGTGCTTTCCATCTGCAGGGGCCACACAAGGTGGTGAGAGATCAGAGATGAGGGAGAAATCCTTCCCTGTGAGGGTGGAGAGGCCCTGGCACAGGTTGGCCAGAGAAGCTGTGGCTGCCCCATCCCTGGAAGTGTTGAAGGCCAGATTGGATAGGGCTTGGAGCAACCTGGTCTAGGAGAAGGTGTCCCTGCCTGTGGCAGGGCGTGGAATGAGATGGTCTTTAAGGTCCTTCCAATCCAAACCATTCCAGGATCCTATTCCCAGTCAGCCTTCCATGTCCAGCAAGGCAGGACAGGACCTCTAAGATTGCTCAGACTCCTTAGTCAAGGGCTTGTGTGCTTTGCTCAAAAAGGGAAAGAATAGAAATTTGGCTCTCCAGCTTTGCCCAAGTATTTGGCACTCCTGGGATGCTCCAGCTCTGTGGTCTGACCAGGAAAATAAACCCTCATCAAAGCAAGAATGAATTCCAACTGCTGGGGCCTGCTGCAAGGAATACCCAGGCTGTGTGAGGCTGGTTCAGCTGACACCCTGTGTGTTTTAACCAGTTATTGTGTAGCTGGATCTGTGTCCCCACAGGCTTCCTTTGCTGGCGTGTCCGGAGCTGTTTGCCTGGGATGCAGAGTGTGGTGTTGGTCTCCATCGCCAGGAATGCTTTTATAGCGGCCTGGGTGCCATGCTGGGGGCTGGAATGAAAAACATCTTGGAAAAGCCTTTGGCAAAGGTGTACTCAGTCCTGGTTCTGCTCACAGCTGCCCTGTCTGGGGTTATTTAGCCGTTGATTTTTCTCTGACTGTCATGTCGCTTCTCTGCTCTCAGAGGCGGCGAAATACCCCCTCAAGGTTCAATTAATTTTAAAACTGGCTGTTTCCAGGACTGTCTGATCTCTTCAGTGTTGTGGCAAGGACAGGGAGGAGGGTTTATTCTGTGGTGGGGTCAGCCTTCCAGTTTCCCAGTTAAAGAAGCAGCCATGGCTATAAATGCAATCAGATTTGCCTGACAGTGTTCCCTGCAGCGCTGTCACCTCGCCCGGGATGGAGAGTCAGGGCCTGCAGGTGACACTTTCTTTACTGCCCAGTACCAGCAGGATCCTTCCCTCCTGCATTGTCCCTCTTCCTTGGCCCCCAGTCCATGGATGGCTCCAGTTATCCCAGCCACACTCCAGGAGAGGGCACCAGTCCCTCGCTCACATTGATTGTCAGAGCACGGAGCATCCCCGCCTGACCCGTGTGCAGGGATGCTCCCGTGGGCTCCTGCAGGGAACTGGGGGCAGGCAGAGTCCTCCACCCACCCTGGCTGGGCCAGATGGGAAGGTGCTGTTGGGGGTGAATGTATCCTAGTGAAGAAAATGGATACTGTGGAAAATGAGGGTACAGGGAGCAGTTCTGCCTTGTGAAATCTTCATTAGGGAAGGGAGGCAGGAGTGTGCAGGGACCCGTGTGAGGTGGTGTGTCTCCTGTCAGGTCCTTTGCAGTAGGGATCTCCTACTGCTTGTCTGTAATAGTACCTACAATGCCTGTGTTTTACTGGGGGAAGGAGAGAGAAGAGGTGAGGGATTGAAATGTAAAGAGCGTGCTCTGGAATTGAAATGTAAATTCAATGTAAACAGCATGTTCTGCAGTGGGTTAGGTTGTAAAATAAAACCAATAAAGCAGGAGTCTGTTCCACTGCTTGTCTGTGCCAAGCTGTTCTACAGACTGGGAATGCTGGGAAAGTCTGAGGGAAATTGGGGAAAGATCAGCTTTCACAGTGTGATGAAAGCCCCTGTCACTGCTCTACCTGTCCCAGGATCCAGGGGCTGGGAGAGCCGGAAACGCTCCTGGGATGGTCCCCAAGGGCACAGAACTGGCTGTTCAGAGGGTGAGGCACCTGAGGGAGGGATTTATGTCATCACTGACATGGGGAGAGATTGCTGAGCTGAGGCACTGTGTCTGTCACCAAACATGAGGGACTCAACCATGTTCCCAGAGGACTGTGGCTCTGCAGCCCCTCCTCTGCCAGTGCCAGACACTGAGGTGTCCCCAGCTCTGCTCCTGGGGCACACCTGACACTTATTCCAGCCAGGACAAGTGTTCCCATGGGGAATGTGTGTGTCTGCTGCAGGTGCAACCCCCTGATCAACCTGAACTACGCTGTGCTGCTCTACAACCAGGGTGACAAGGAGGGAGCCCTGAGCCAGTACCAGGAGATGGAGAGGAGGGTCAGCGCAGCCAAGGAGAGCAGCGCTCCCGACTTCGACCCCGAGGTACGTCCTTCCCGGGGGCAGGGGCTCGGGAACCACGCCAGGGCTGGCAGCACATCAGGAGATTTGACTTTGAGTCCAGTTGTTAGGAAGAAATTCTGCTCATGAGGTGTTCTGAGCGGAGCAGGCGCCTGCTGAGAGCTGCTCGCTTTGCTGCTGCGCTTTGAAGCTCAGTTCTTCAATCAATACCCAGCAAGACAAGATTCCCTCTTAATTAAGGGAATGAATTAACAGAGATGTTTCCCCCGAGCACCGAGGCCAGAGCCAGCTCTGCACAGCTCTCATTTTTCAGGGTTTTTTGTGGAGATGTTGACTTTATTGTTTTCTGAAGGGTTTTTGCTCACAGTGCTCTTCTCTTTGTGCTTCTTGAACAGATGGTGGAGGTGGCCCAGAAGATGGGAGCTGCCCTGCACGTCGGGGAGAGCCTGGTCTGGACTAAGCCTTCTAAAGAGTCCAAATCCAAGCAGAGAGCTGCTGTGTCAGGGAAATCCTCCAGCTCTCAGCAGCCTCTGGGCTCCAACCAGGCCCTGGGTCAGGCCATGTCCTCTGCTGCAGGGTATGGGAAAACCATGCAGCTTCCCTCAGGTGAGTCTCCTCTGCTGCTCTGTCCAGCAGAGCTGTGGGAGTGCAGTTACAGCACATGTGCAGGAAGGGACTGACTTGCCTGCACAGCAGTAAGGTCACTGTTTGGTGATAACTTTCCCAGATTTCTGGGTTAAGGAAGATGCTCTCTGTGGTGCATTACACTCTCCTGCTTCTGCAGGGATGTGGGAAGCCAGGAAAATTTCCCTTCCTGTCTGAGCCACGATGGCAAGACTCCATTAGCATGAGATTGAGATCTTGCTCTGAAAAGGAGGTGGTTTCAGCAACCAGACCTCCTGCTTTCCTTTGGAAGAGCCCAGGAGCTGATGTGCACAGACAGGCTGTCGGAGAGGAGGGAAAGGATGGACAATTTTCCAAAGCACTTTATCACTTCTTCTACAACAATAACTGCAGCTGGATTGCTCCCAAGCTGCCCAGCCAGGCCCTGCCTTGCAGATGTTGCTGGGTTAAGTGTGGGCCACAGGACTGAGGGTTGCTCAGGAGATGGTGTGAGCCTTACTCCGATGGCTGCACGTGCTGGGGCTGCCTAGGAGCATCTCCTGAGCCACCATTCCCCGCCTGACCTCTCGGCCCTCAGCTTCCCAGGAGCAATGTGCTAGAGATGCTGCTCATCCTGGTGGTTTTCTGTCACTCTTGGTCTCATTGCCTGGAGACTGAACCAGGAGAGAGGTTGTGTAATCCAGGACTCTTTCTTTGGCATCCCTAAGGACCTGTTCCATTTCTCACGCATGGATTTAACTTACCATGCAGGGAAGACTTAGCCAGAAAATCTGAAAAGTAAAACACTCCAGGAGTTTAGAGTTTACCTGAAGGGCTTTATTGTCCTTATCAGAAAAGGGAGCTGGTTCATAATACTGGTTGTCAGCTTAAATTTAAGTGTAGAAACCACTTGTGTCCTGTTTTGATTTAATTCTGTATGTAGCTACTTTAACTGCCTGGAAGCTCTTCCCAAATTTGCTAAAGCTGTGAACTGAAGACAATTCTTTGGTTTGAGCATAAACCAGCTTCAGTGGAACTGAAAGTGGCACTTCCTGTGAGGGTGGGGAGGCCCTGGCACAGGTTGGCCAGAGAAGCTGTGGCTGCCCCATCCCTGCAAGTGTCCAAGGCCAAGATGGATGGGGCTTGGAGCAACCTGGGCTAGTGGAAGGTGTCCCTGCCCAGGGCAGGGGGGGAATGAGATGAGCTTTAAGGTCTCTCCAACCCAAACCAGTCTGGGATTCTGTGATTTTGGGAACTGTTTTCCCTTCCAAAGCATAAATTAATTCCTAAGTTTGTACTGACTTCTCACAGCTGAGTGAGATCCTATACCTGAGCTTCCTTTCAGCAGGACTTTGGGCTGTCAGATCTCTGGCTGGATAACTCCTTATCAATAAACTAATGCTGGGCAGAAGGAATCGGAGAGTAGTTAATAGCTGTGATTGTTCTGCATCTCTGTGCTGATGGGATGGGCAAAAAGAATAGACCCAACATGTGTAGCTGTAGAGTAACTCCAGCTGTGTCCTCTCCTCAGGTGCTGGAACACCAGCTCTGCCAGCAAAGCGTCCCTCCCTGCCTCTGGAACCAGAACAGGACTTGGAAACGAGCCCCGAGGAGAGCTCGGCACCCGCAGGGGACGCGGAGCAGGGGAAGGAGGAGCACAGGAGCCAGCAGGCAGTGGAGTAGGACGGGCTCTGGGCACCTCCAGAGCTGCCTGGGACTTGGGAGAGGGACCTGCTCCTCCCTGCCCTGCTGGGCTTCACCCCACTGTCAGTTAGTCTGGATGCAGCTGTTTTGTCAGTGATTTTTAGCACGTGGGCTCTGTCCCAAGTCGTTGCAGTGATCAGAAGAGGTTGATGTGTAGCTACTCTTAGTGTGGTCACTGCAAGAGGCTGGAGGATGGGGATCCAGCTCTCCACAGGTTGGGTGTGAGCCCTCTAGAAAGCCCTCTAGCAAAGCAGCAGTAGTGGCTTGGAATCAGTGGCTGAACTGGTGAGCAGCTGATTTTCCACAAAGAACCAGCAAACTGAACCTTCAGGGCTCTTTGTTTGCTGCTTGAGCTCCCCAGCTGTTTGAAAATGTATTTCCTGCTTTTAGTTCTGCTCTGTTGGACTGTATCCCTCCATAATGAACAGTCCAGGAGAGGAAGGTTAGTAATGGAAACTTCTCTGAGGCAACAGTGTAAAAGCAGCACCAGCAGGGCTCTGGGTCCGTCCCCATCCTTCAGCTGTGCTTTGTGTTTGCTGCTGTGACCCAGAATGACATTAATGCATCTTTAGAGCCCAGCCAGGAACTGAAGTGCTCTCCTGCTCCCTGGAGAACACCGGAGTAAGAACCCTCACTCTCCCCTCTGTTTTGATGGCCCAAACTGCTGATCTTAAATGTGGCTGTTTCTCCCCCCAGCTGTTCTCTCTGCTGGGTTTTTCTGTCAGTACAGCTCCAGGGCAGCATTCCTGTAAGGATTCCCTCCTGTAAGGGTTCCATCCTGCCAGGAGTTGAAGAAAAGAGGATTTTTTGTGGAGCGCTGGCAAATTGAAACAAACCAGACCAGGAGCAGGTAAATCAGGTACAGTGCAGACATTTTTATTCACATTAAACTTCTTACACTGGGAGTTCCTGCAGTGTAACAGAGTGCCTGGGAGGAAGAGGTGAGGATTGCAGAGCAGGGGTGGGCAGGGGCTGGGAATTCTTTACCTCAGCCCCAAAACTTGAGTTCAAGACAGATTTTTGTCCTAGGATGCTTTGATAGGGTAAATGTCACACAGGGAGCACATACAGCATTTGAAGGTACCTGTGAAGGGATTTATTTTAAATATGTGTTTTGGTGAAGAGGTTACACAGATAATGAACCAATTCTCCTTCTGTGAAAAAGCAGTAGCACCTTCCTACTTCCTGGGAAGCATTTTTAAATATGTAATTCCAGTTGGATAATAAACAGAACTGCAATTCCTCGTCCTGCCCCCTCTCCTCCCCTGGCTCTGGTGATGATGGCATTTGCACACAGTAAATTCCTAGGATCTTTCTGGAGAGCTTTTTTGTGCTAATGATAATGAGGCTGGACTGTTCATTGGGCTGGAATTAAGCAAGGGACTCTTCAGCAGGACTGCACTGAGGCATTTAGGGATTTTGGAAATCACACCTTATGCTCCAAAACCTGTTTCTGGCATCAGCCATAATTCTAATCTTCTCTTTTCCCCCCATAATGGACATTTTAAGATGGAAAACAATAATGAGCCTAATTTCTAGGGAAGGAGAAACCATCTGCTTCAGGACTTTTCTTCCCCTTTTTAGGAAAACATCTTTGATGAGCCCGGGTAAATCACAGAGCTCACAGGGTTCTCTGCAGCTTGGCTTCTGCACAGAAAACAAACTAGAAGACACTCAAACATAAATGCCTGGGCAGCAAGACCTTGTTTCAGCCAAGAGTAATAAGTTATTCATCCAGCAACGTATGTTCAACCCAAAAAATCTGGTTTTGAGGTCCCTGAGACAACTGGATGCTGATTTATGGCACAGGCAGGATTAGTGGATACCTGCCATGCTCCTGTACATGTTTGCTCAGTTGTGCCTGAGCCAGGTGGACACAGGGGTCTTTAAGATGTTAAAAATTTAGATTTCCCAGTCAGGAAGTGGGTTTCAGTTGGCAAAACCTCCTCTACAGAGACAGACAGGGAGCAGTGCTCAGTGAAGTAAACCTTGACTAAAATAATAAGCTCCACACATAAATGTGCTCGAAAGGAGCACGTGTTGCAACAAGTGCTTCATCTGCCAAGACTTTTCTGTAAGATAAAGTCCAGTTCTGCTACAAGGAAAGCCTTACCACTCTCTCAAACCAAACTGCTCCAAAAAAATCCATGTTTTTAATGGAAGATCCAGGTGAGCTCTGAACCCAGTTTTGCCCAGGCTGCAGCGAGGAGCAGCTTTCCTGAGAAATTCACGGGGGGGAGGTTTTCTGGGTATTTTTTTTCATTGCCCCCACTTGCATTTCACAATTCCTGCCAGGATTTGTGTTCCTCAGCTGCCGTGGGATCTGCTCAGCAGAGGCTGATCCCAGGCTGTTTGGGAACAGGCGCCTTCCCGGGCTCCCGGCACAGACGGGAATGGCCACGTGTGCCATTCCAACCTGCACGTTCCCTTTGCTGAGGGAACATCCTCCCACCAGTCTGGATCAGAAACTCCCTGAGAATTCAGCTTGGATCCACCTGAGAGATTACACAAGGAACTGCTCCATCTGTTACGGAGGAGAGTTTCATCTGATGTCTCTGGGCAGACAGGATCAGCATTCCTGGCTCTGAGATCCAAGTTTCACTGCAGACTTTAATCAGACCCAGTATTTTTCTGTTTTTCCTCCTGTTTTCTCTAAAAGTTGGTGAGTTTCCTTAGCCCAGGAATAGCAAGGCAGCACGTTGTGTGACAGGAGCTGCTCTGAACGTGTGAGGCAGCACCCAAATATTAGCACAGAGACTCTTTAGCTGGTCACTCACTCACAACCCTCAGCTTTCCTGAGCTTATCTCCCTAACTAACCTAAGCTGCAAGTGCCCAAAAGAGCCCAAACCAACTTTTGGGGTAACTGGAAATCGAGTTCTGTTGTACCATTCTCACAAAACTGTCCCACTATTAAACTCTTTTCTCAGGATGTGGCTGGAAAGGTCACCTGTGGCACATAATTCCCGATAACTCAGCATATCCTTACAGACTAAATAGTAAAAAAAAAGCCAAGCACAAGTGCTGAGGGTTTTCCGTTGGGTTTTGGAGTGGATCTAGTGCTCTGCTGCTGTCCAAGCTTTGGATTCCAGTGGCTGAGTGGAGCTGAGCTCTAAGGCAACATCTAACATGGGTCAGAGCAGCTGCTGAGGTCTTTGCTAAAGGCTCAGGAAGAACTTATCAGCACCAGTTCTGTAAAAAGGAATTTGGGAGGGAAGAGCAAACATAACTGGATCTCACATATCCCAACAGGAGATAACCAGATTTTACACAGAAGTAAAAATAGAAAATCAAGTCATTCCTTAGCAATGCTGTGAAACTCTCCTGGAGAGGAGAAAAAACTGTAAAGAGCCTTTAAACTGGGAAGAGGCAGATTTGGGATTGGTTTTTCCATGGTGAGCACCAAGGGCACAGTGAAGGAACGTGTCCTTTGGGACTCTGCCAGCCTCCTGTGATTCACACCTCTCAAATAATCCACCACCTGACCTTCAGTAAGGGACAGGCACAGAAAAGATGGGAACAATGCTCGTTCTGGATCCTGGATAAGACAAAACAACCCAAACCAAGGTGGCTGCACCGGCTGCAGGGACACAGATGGAAATAACCAAGTGCACAGGTTTTGTCATGGGGAGATGTCCCAATGCTGAGCTCAGCTGCTGCACCTCCAGCAAAATGTGTGTGAATAAACATGTCCAGTGGAAACCCTTCTTTGGGAGTGTGAGGTTGGCTGAGGTTTGAGGCCTCCAGCACTGTGGATTTCCAGGTATGAGTAACACAGAAGAACAAACACAATTTGTAGAGACAGAGAGATCAGGGGGAGCAGAGTCACTTGAAGCCTGGGTTTGAAGCTTTGGTATTTTTGCAGCTTTTAGAGCAGCTTTTCTGTGCTGTCACTACTGAGGCTGTGCAGGGGTGTGAGACTACACAGGCAGGGGAAGGATTTCAGGAGCTCTGCCACCCTGCCTGTCATTCCCTTGGGAAGGCAGAGGGAAGTTAAGCACATCATGTTCGCAGCGTGTAAAACATGCTGGGCCCCTCCATCCAATTCACATTTATTATCATATAGATTGTTTCAGAACTGAGTCCTGGATCCCACCAGCACAGCTGCTTAAGGATTATCCTTGGGAAGTGCATTTGGTGGCAGGTGAGCTCTGTGTGCCTGATAAAGCACATCTGGATGGAGCAGCAGCCTGGCCACCGTGAGCTGCTGCACTTGAGATGTGACTCACAGTGCCAGGTATTCCCAGGGCACCCACGGGAGAAATGTAACCTGGGGAGAAAGAACAGGAACAGCAGGAAGGAGGAGTGAACAGGAGTTAATAACTGGAGTTTAGCTTTAAGGCCCAGGTGATTTCTAAGCAATAAATTCCTTTTTTATAATTGTTTACACCAATTATTTATTCAAACTAGCTTAAAAAAGAGATACTTTAGGCCTGTCACATTCCTGTTCAATACAAGCACAACTTTGCCCTTGGGCAAGGTCTGTAAGTGCAGTCCTGTGGTTTTAAGTGGCCATAGGGAATGCCAGTCCAATCAGCCTCACATCCCTGGGAAGTGTTTTTGGAAGAGAGAAGTGAAATACAGCAGCAGGGCCATTGCTGGTGACAGCCTGTGTGTGTTTAGTTTTGTTTTGTTTCCAACTTGAGAATCCACAGCTTGGCCCAGTGTCAGGAAAGTGGGACCCAGGAAGGCTCAGTTCTCCACCTGGCAGATCCATGGCCTTTGGTGGCCCTGGCCACTGTGAGAGGCTGCAAAATGACCTTGTTAATGGCCTTGGACCTCTCAGACAGCTGAGAGGTTTTTTAATTAATTTTTAATTTAGGAAGACTAAACCAGAACTCAGAGTCCTGTGCTACAGTTTATCAATAATAATAAAAATAATAATCTGGATGGAAATACTTCCAGTCTTAAGAAGGTCCTGCACCAAGATAAAATGCTGAGAGTCAAGGGAAGCTCAGGATGGAAAGAGCTGCAGGAAAACACAGCAGTGACTGTATTTCTGCTCTGTACAACACAGAAGACTTTGCTCAGAGGGAAAGCTGAATACACACTGACAGCCAGCATTGTGTGCTGAGTCAGTGCAAGTACAACAGCTGCCAATTTTTATCCTTGCAGAGCATTCAGGATGGATTTTCCAACAGGAGAACATCCCTGACAGCAGCATGACAGTGTTACTGAGACAGATCACTCCACCCTGAGTGACAGACTCTCCTCCCCTCCATGCAGACACAAAGACTGACCTTAAACGACCTCCTACAAACTCTGGCGAGGCACAGGCTTGCCCAGACAGGCTGATGGCATTTAATCCAGTTCTGAAAAATGGCTGTGAGAGCTATGCAGATACACCTGAAGTTCCTGAAGTGGCCAGAGACAAACCATGCTGGAAAGACACAAACCCCAGGCTGGTGCTCTGCAGTTTGTGGTGTGTGACTGTGAACAGGTAAAAAAACCAGAAGTATTTAACAAGGACACAGGGTTCTGCTTTTTTAATTTCAAAGGCCAGAGCAAAGAAACTATTGGTGACCTAGTCAAAAAACCTCCAACATCAAACCCTAAAAAGGCCTCCTCACTTCAGTCTGACCTGGAAAATGCTGTTACAGCTTCTGAGCTTCCAGAGGGACCTTCCCTAATATATTAACCCTTCTGAATGGAGAGCAGGAAGACTGAAGAATTTGGCACAACCACTCTCAAACAACCAAAATCGAGTCTCCAGCACTCGAGAGCATTTCTGTAACACAGCACCTGGAAGGCCCTGCTGTCAGCAGAGAAGGTATTTAGTGTACAGCAAACAAGGTAACGCTTTGGGGGCCACCTGACAGGGAAGTAGAGCTGTCCCCCAAATAAAAACCCCGATTGTCTTCACTCCCACTTTCCCAAAAGCTAAACACAGGCTGCTGGGGCTCAGTTGAACACCTTTAAGTCACAGATACCCAGCATCACCTGCACAGCCTGCAGTAGGTACAGTCTGCATCACATTTTGGGACCGTGGCTCCCTCTGGGGACACCGAGAGATGATTTCACCAGGCAAAAATTCCATCATTGCCCCAGGCAAGGGAAGGTTTGCAGTGTGCTGGGAGGAGATAAGCCACAAGCCTTTTATTTGGAATTTACCAGAGGCAAGGCAGGGCCGGGCACTGCTGTGGGATCCGCAGGCAGGGAATTCTCCTGCTGCACTTCCCAGCACTACCAGACAAGATCCATTCTGAGCTACAAACAGCAAACCTACACCAGCCAGGGATTTTGGTCTTTGCCTCCCTCTCCCCCTGCTCAGGACAAAGGCAATTTTCACATTAAATACTAAAACATCTGCACCCACACGAGAAGCGTTCGAGTCACTGCCCAGTGACTGGAATGTGCCGACAGTTTATACCTGGAATTATTCTTTGGCTCTTTTTCAGTTACACCCAGAAAACACACCACACCCCGATTCTGTTCCTATGCCACCACTGCCTCAAATCCCAATCCACGGGTCTCAGACACCGTGCAGCGCTGGAGAAGGAGGAGTTCCTGGTTTCCTACTGAGGATAGGCCTCGGAGTAGAGCAGTCCCTCGGCGGAGATGGCATCCCCCAGCCCCACGGTCCGCACGGGGTCCTTGCACACCAGCACGGGGGTGAAGTGGAACGAGATGCCTTCCCTGTGCCAGTGCACCACGGGCTCGTCCGGGTTCAGGGAGATCTTGGCGGGAGCCTCCGTGTGGGAGGTGAGGAACTCACGGGGGGCCTTGAGCAGGACCCTGCTGGTGTCGATGGTGTCGGTGGCGCAGGCCTGGGTGCCGGCGGCCCTGGCCCCGGCCGCCACCGCCGCCGCCTGGTTGCCCCAGTGCCCGTCCACGGTGGCCAGGATGTGGTAGGCCAGGGTGTGGAAGTGGATCCGCGTGAGGTCGGACGCCCGCTCCGCCGCCTTCCCGTGCTCCTTCAGGATCCAGAAGAGGATGTCGCTGACCACCCCCACGTCGGGAATCCCGCTCCAGGAGCCCAGGGAGGCGTGGGGGCCGGAGGCAGCCTGGGTGAGGAACAGCAGCTCCTGCTCGTTCAGCCCGATGGAGTTCACCAGGGGAAAGACCTGCTAACAGAAACACGGGAACCACGGGTTTGCCTTCAC